TGTGACACACACACATTCACACACACCATCAGCATTCTTGCATTCAACATATGTTGAAAAGTCTCTGCTGCTTGCACTGGTCACCCCTGCAGAGAGAGCAAGTGCTACACAAACAGATTTAGTAACAATGAGCAAAGAATGTGTGAATCAGAGGGTGACAGGCATGAAAGACACAGAAATAGAAAACTAATGAGAGGAAGAGAGCTGGAGAAGTGTGATGGTTTAGGAACAGATTGAGAAGACTCATGCAACACCTTTTTATATGACAAATAAAAAAATGCAGTTTTAAAGGTCACCGTCTTTCACATATCTTGTCTCTGAGACAGCTGTAGCGGGTCGTAGATGACAGACGTCATTCATTTGCACAGTTACAACACAAATAGAATATGGTCAATACTCTAGACATAATGTGCTCTGTGCAATGGACCGTGTTCACAGAGTCTGTCAGCGGGCTGAGAGATGTCCTGTTCATTCCACAATACAATGTGCATCTAATGTCTTGTTAGATGCTAGCGCAAATGAAACAGAAGGGTGGCAGGGAACAGCCATTAGTGAATATAGATACCGTCTGTCATCTGAACAATAGCACTACTGAAAAGAAGCAAGACACTGAATTCATAAAGCTCAAAGGAAGGCTGCTTTGGAGATAGGATTGACATTTGACCTGCTTCTATACAATGGCAAATTAAAAGAGATGTTTTGGTTTAGAGACATAACTAAACTGTAAAAGATCCTGAGGCATTCACTGAAAATAAGGGGAGTGATAGAGAGTCAGAGACCAACATATTACACTATGCAAGACAGAGAGATTAAAGTGTGAGTGTGGGAAAAGTTAAAAAGAGAAAAAGAAGGCATGACAATCTGTGTGTGCATGTGTGTGTATGAGTTAGAGAAGCATGCGAGGACAAGAAGAGGAGGGTGATAATAACAGGATGACCTTGTATGCTGTTTGGCAGCAATCAAGTGCTCACACTGTATGGGTGTGTGAGTGTGTGAGTGTGTGTGAGAGGGGGGGGGGGGAGCGTGGCAACATTTGCCTTCACTTTCACTAATCCGCCTCTTGTTTCACATCTCGAGTCCCTCTCCTTCCTCTCATGGGTTCTTTTCAAACCAAGGTAAAAGCTCCATCATCAACAAACACACGATGGCAGACATATTCGGCAAAACACTTCACTTTCAAACATCTCTTTGTATCTCTCTTTTCACTGTGTTGGTCTACTTCTCAAGTGGGAAGGGTTGTCAGTGTGTGATTGCAATCAGGTAAAAACAGGGATGTGTGTTTGCGACAAGAACATGTAATGTCTCCTTTGGCTTCTCTAGAAAAAGCACAGACATGACAAAAACACAATGGATGTGAGGGGATGTGGTCATGTCATTATTTCGCAGACGGAGACGAAGAAAATATTTTAACAGAAGGAGGATACACAAAGGAATAGACTCCTCAGTGTTTTCTAGGGCAAGGACATTTTGTCTGCCACGTCTAACATTGGTCAAATTCAAGGTTGACACACACACACACACACACACACACACACACACACACACACACACACACACACACACACACACACACACACACACACACACACACACACACACACACACACACACACACACACACACCACACACCACACACACACACACACACACACACACACGCACACACACACACGCTCACACACACACACCTGCCTGCTCTAGAAACATAGATCTGTAATGCTTCGCTAAGCCCAGTGTCCTTAAGGGTATACCATCAGGTGTTCAACAGACAAGGACATCAGGCTGGAGTGTGTGTGTGTGTGTGTGTGTGTGTGTGTGTGTGTGTGTGTGTGTGTGTGTGTGTGTGTGTGTGTGTGTGTGTGTGTGTGTGTGTGTGTGTGTGTGTGTGTGTGTGTGTGTGCTTCCTCCTTCCTATCTCCCTCCTCTGAGTTCCCCTCAGACGCTTGACGGACAGTTTCCTCAGAGCTGGGTGGTTTGGGGAAATAGGGAGATGATTGCATGAATTCATGAATAAATGAGAGTGTGACTTGTATGGGCAGAGTGAGACCTGTTAGGCCTCAAGTGGCAATGTTTTATTAAACAGCCTTCATCTGTGTGTCTCTAAGTGAATAAGTTAGCTGCGGGGTCAGAGCCCGGTAATGAGAAAAGCCAAAGAAGACAAATACCATAGCTAATGTGTGTACAAAAAACTGTAAACGAGAAATAAAACAAAGAAATATTGATTTTAGATTAAATTATAGGTGACAGCATGTTAACAAATGCTGACCCCAGAGTCACACAACTTCCCGTCCTGCAGTCACTTTGTGGGAAACATTTGTCAGCTCTAGGTTAGGTCCTGTATCTTGGGTAAATTGTCACTGCTTATAGTGGAGGTTTCATTCCCACCAGGGCCTCCCACAGTGAAAATGCTGCAGAGACATTTCTGCAGGACACTAACAATTGGATAGCATAGCAGCAGCAGTCGGAAAAAGTCAAACTGGTGAGGGCATCCTGTTCCCCCACAGGAATCTCGTAATGACTGTGATGGAGCTTTGTCCTCAGGCATTTTATAAAGAAGGTTACGAGCTTTGGCTTAAATTAAAATGGCTTTGGCAAATACTGCAGTAATGGGGGCATTTGGACATGGAGCAGTGATTGATGCCTTGAAGGAACAGAAGGAAAGGTGAATACATTCCAGTAAAATATGGCAGCAGTATTACTTCACTATGTCGGTTAGTTATTGGCAGCATCAGCTTGGTGTCATTCCAACACTGCTGTGCAATGCATGGAATATCAATCAGCACTTTGAAATTAGCTAAAATGTTCATTTGTCCCCAGTTTGGAAAAATAGATAGCACATATAACTCAAGATGTTTGCACCAATGCTCCACTTTTGAACAATTTCCTCAGCAGTTGCCTCTCAGTTTAGCCTTTGGGAGCAGGCAGGCGCTGCAGCGGGCTGTGCCACGGTCCACTGCCTCAAGGTGAGCCCATGAGTAAGGATAGCATCTCCTATTGACACCCAAGCCTCGGCATCGACCACACTTTGACTGACAGGCCCGGAAGCCTTGACTTCGTCCTATCTACCTCACACTGAGACCCAGGGAAGCCAATAAAGATTGTCTATATTTAAACTTCAGAAGCGTCAGGGAGATAGGGTAAATTGTTGAGGGAAGGTTTTTCTGGTCACCAAAAAAAGAAAATGATGCCCCGTCTCAATTCCCCCGTCCTAAACAGATTCTTAAATCACAGAGAATAGGGAAGGGCTTTGACGAAGCTGACAACACAGAGGCAGTAATGAGGAGGCTGATTTGTTATGACTCTAGCACAACCACTCTCTTCAAACCCAGCCGTTGAGGATTGTGTCTATTGATGTCATTTCAGCATGCACCACTGCTCCTGATGAACCACACCAACTGCCATTGCTGTCAAATCATTTAGCCACCAATTAGTAGTGAAGGTCAAGCTCTGAGAGGAATGTAATTTGGCAATAGATCTAATGCCTTTGTGCTACATATAAATGAAGAAGAGCAAATGATCTGCTAGATGAATCTGTCTTTTTGCAAAGCCTACTCCACTTTTGGCTTGTGAACATTACAGGGTTCATATTATGATCATGCCAGGTCCATATTTGTATTTTACGGTTTTACTAGAACATGTTCACGTGGTTTAATATTCAAAGAACCAAACACTATCTCATAATGTTCCCCTTAAGTCTGGCAAAAACACTCAAATACACTCCTAATTGAATTACTGAATATTTATGCAAGAGTTTCTAATGGCAAATCAGAGCTCCAGCAGGGTCTTCCAGCAGGCAAATGAAGATAGACTTCAGAATAGAGTTGTACTGTCATGAAAGCAATTGAGATGTGGAGTTCAATGCTAAGTATCAGAGTAAACAGACAACAGGGGAGAGTATGCATGACGCTGATTCAGTCAGCCAGCAGCAGGGAACAGGAAGAGCCAGGGAAAGAGAGAGGTTGTGTGCATAATGACTATTTATACAAGTCAGAGCTCAAAATATGATGCAGTATGACTTGCAGGGCAATTTATTAATTTGTTACTCCTTACAAACACTCTCCAAGCAATGTTTTAATCTTTCAGTGTCTTAAGAGCTTTTAAGATATTCTTTAAGGTGCCAGAATGTCCCTAAAGGCAAAGTCTGATGACTATCATCACTGACACGTATAGCTTAGCGTCAACACTGAGTTCTATGTGAATTTTAATGATGCTTCTTTATCTGGTATAAAAAACACTACTTCCTTATTTTCTCCCCTTCCTATCTTCATCTTTCCTCCACAATCAGTCCTTGTGCCCATCTTCCTTACCCTGCCTATTAATCACTGTTATTCAATCCATTTTTTATTTTGTCTGTATTTTGGGTGTTAAAAGAGAGAATCAAAAAAACTCCTCACTGGCCCCCTGGCTGTCATTGTTGTTATCTGCCAGGTCTCCTCAGTGAGCAAGTGACCTGCGGGTGAGATGCGTTTTGGGATGGATGTTTGAGCGTGTGTGTGTGTGAGTGTGTGTGTGTGTGTGTGTGTGTGTGATGGCGCTTGAAGATGAGCTTTGTTCAGCTGAAGAAAATGGGGTCAGGAGTCAAATTGAACATGAGCGGGCTGCACCGACTTTATCTCAGTTTTCTTTGTGCGCACGTGTGTTTCTGTGTGTCAGTTGGAATCTATATCTGTTGGCAGGAGAGAATGAGCGTGATTGTACTTTATCTTTGGGAAAGTCCAATCCTCTTGTAGCAGCGTGCACGCGTGTCTCTTATCTCAGGACTAACCTGGTGCAACCAAGAGGGCTTTTGTCTGAGCAAAGAGCGAGAAACATCGGTGATACAAGTGCAGATAAATACCATCCAGACCAATGTGATGCAAGTCACTGAGCCACAAGAAGAGCAGCATGCAATATGGACACATCAGAGGGAAGAAAAAGAGAACATAAGAACATATACAGTGAAGGAAATGACTGTTCATTTCATTGTAAGTGGGTAAACTTACTAAATCGGCAGGGGATCAAATACTTATTTCCTCCACTGTAAGTAGGAGGAATAATAAAACTAGGAGAGATTAGGTGACAAAAAAGGAAAAGATGATATATAAAATAACTGTCTTTCTTCTGTCCACTTTTTAAGGTAGACAGGCTCAAATATGATGACTTGCTAAGTATCACATACAGTATGTTAGCCTTTATAGACTGAACCCTGTGACACATGCTCCCAAACAACATTTGACACACACAAACACACACACACACACACACACACACACACACACACACACACACACACACACACACACACACACACACACACACACACACACACCACACACACACACACACACACACACACACACACACACACACACACACACACACACACACACACACACACACACACACACACACACACACACACACACACACACACACACACACACACACACACACTGAGGTTCATCATTATTACCTTTCCTGAGGCAAAAGCAGCAGTCCCATGCTGGAATATAACTGTAGCTGCATATTTAGATTACATTATTGGGGTGGTGTGTGTGTGAGTGTGAGCGGCGGTGAGTCTGTGTTAGTGTTTGCTGCTGCACTAAAGGGCCTCTAGTTGAATATGAAATTCTTAGTGGGAGGCATATTGCTTAATATTTCAGCAGAAATGGAGATCAAATTAGATCAGCTAATGTAATGTATGTTTGCTTATGTAGGTGGGTGTCACATATTTTGCCTACACAGATATGTGCACGCATTTCCAAAATAAGTACTGTTCATCTGAGTGTGAATGCATGTGTACATATACAGTAAGTTGGTGTGTATATCTAAGTTTGTGTGTGGGTGCTCTACTCAATGTATGTCTCTACTCAGTCTAGTGGAATAACTTGTTCTGCTCATGGCCTTAAGGTTAAATCAAGATTGACCAGTGTTTCTAAAACACAACACTTGCTGGTAGGGATGCACACACATTCTTGTGATTCTTTGCAGCCCCCACGCAAAAAAAGGTATATTAGAAAAACAGAAGACGCATAACAAAACATTTCTGAAGAGAAATGATGCTCAAAAAAGAGTGCCTCTGTGCTTTTGCTGCATTCTTTACAGAAGTTATGCCTGAGAGTCTGAATGTTAAATAGTTTGGCATATGAAGGAGCTGAAGATGAACAGCCTTGGTGTCTGAACAGTGAATAGTAACCTTTTGTGAAGAAGATTCTTTCAGAGTTACATTTATAAATTCTCCAATATATAACATCACTCTTCTTTCTTGCTTGGAATGTGTGTATGCCTCCTGTGTGTGTGTAAGTATGTATGATTCATAACTACCGCAGTTTTACATTTAAACGTTTTTAAAGTCTTAGATTTACCATATCTAGATCACTTATAAAAGGTCAGAAGGGTAATAAGTCATGAAGTTGCCTAGTAGATTCCAGCAATAGTGTGTGTATATGCAGCCGGACCTCATATCAAATGATGTCCACTAATTCACATAAAAGTGTGCATTACACACACATGTGTACACCATTATAACCTCTCCCGAGGCAATGCAGCAGCGGAGTCTTGCTGAAAAATAGCTGACCCATCATAAACATGCGAGGCAGGTTCTGTGAGGTGTAAGTTTGCCGCAGTACCTGTGACCAGCTCTCTGATTTCCACATCTCCGGTCTTTCTCAGCAGGCGGACCAAGGCAGGGATCCCCCCGCAGTTCTTCAGGGCCACTTTGTTCTCGTCGTTGGCCTTGCCGTACACCAGGTTCCTCAAGGCTCCGCAGGCGCTGCGGTGCACCTCGCTCATCCTGTGGTCCAGCAGGTCCACCAGCAGCTGGATGCCTCCTTGTCTGCGGATCTGAGGATACAAACAAATTAAATTATATACAACAACAAAAAGATCATCAAATACATTTCCAGCCACCAGGAAAATGGCCAACAGTTGTACAGTCAAGTGTGTGTGTGTGTGTGTGTGTGTGTGTGTGTGTGCGTGCGTGTGGCTTACAGTACCCTTCAGTCCTGCCAATCAGATTAACAACCCGTTGTGCACTAATTAAAGATCCTATAACACAGCTAATGAATGTGTTTCACAAAATGACACTTAATTATACTGATGAGGGTGGGGGGGTGCAACGCAAGCTTTGCTGATAATCGGAAAATATATGACGCAATATATTTTCGTCTGTACTGTAGCTCTACGCGTCTCCGATCCTGCTTCTCAGTATTTCCCATTTGAACTCGTCTTTTTCTTCCTCCATTTTAATTCATGTAATGTCTGTTTCTGTGTATGTTTGTTTTCATCCTGTCTGCATTTTTCTGTTTCAGTTGTCTGGTTCATTTCTCCTTCAATGACCATGCATAAACACATCACTACTGACATGTTTGGCTTCTGCTAACTGAAAAGGAAAATAGCTCGGAAGCACAACTGCTTCTTCAAATAGACAACAAAGGCTCAAGTGATTTATAAGATGTGCGATTTAAAAAATGCACCATGCATAATGGGGAAGTTCCGTGCATACAATACAATACAGCTTTATTTATATAGCACTTTAAACCTCCAGACCAAAGTGCTGTACAGGCAAATAAACAAAACAAAACATACAAAAAGTAACACAGCTCAGCTCACACACCATAAAACAAGTACAAGTAAAAACAATAGACAATTTAAAAGCAATAAAAGCAACGCTCTAAAATATGTTAATACGCTAAGGAGAAGAGGTGGGTTTTAATAAGCGCTTTAAAAGCAGGCAGTGTGGCGGCCTGTCTGATGTGCAGGGGCAGATCGTTCCACAGTGTGGGAGAAGCACCGGCCCCCTCTGAGCTTTGACTTGGCTTTGGGCACATTCAGGAGCAGCTGATCCGCTGACCTGAGAGGGTGGTTGGGTGTTATAATTCAATACATATTGTAAATGTTATAATATGTATAGTTTAGAGATATTAAACTTTAATACAAATAAAATGTGAATATATCTATATAAATATAGTAAGGGTTAGGTAGCAGCTCAGAAAGATATGGTGGGCTCATACCATTTAGGGATTTCAAAGTAAATAAAAGGATTTTGAAATGAATCCTAAAATGTATTGGCAGCCAGTGGAGCGAAGCCAAAATGATTTATGTATGCAAATAATAAATAATAAAGAGGCATTTGTGGTCCCTACTCTTTACCCTAGAAACATTTGAAAATGTTAAAGAGAAGAGAGCATGCTGGTAACTTGTTATGTATAATAAAATATAAAGAATACATAATGCACACACTAGTTCTGAATCTTATAATTCAATACATATTGTAAATGTTATAATATTCATAGTTTAGAGATATTAAACTTTAATACAAATAAAATGTGAATATATCTATATAAATATAAATACATTGATAATAAAAAAATATGATAACAGCTACGACCCAATATCTTCCACACACTAATAGTATCAGTCCATCATCGAGTGAATCCAGTTTATATTGCTCATTAGGTCAAGTTGCAGACCATAAGGTTTGACCATGTAATTGAAACATATAATAACGATACACTGAGGAAATGTAAGGCCTTGTAAAAGTGTTCCATTAGTGAAGTAGTAAACTGCTGGTTCCATCTGGATCTCGAATATCAATGAATAAAGTGAAAACTAAATGGCAATTCAGTGTGATTATCAGGCTATAAACTTAATGTTGCAGGTGCAATCTACAAAATGCAAGCCTTAATTACCAAATAAGGATAAAAACAGATGCTGAAACCAAAGAGGAGAAAGCTTAATGGATTGTGTGACTTCCCCAAAAGTCAAGAAAGCTGTCAAGAAATGTGAATATTATTTTCATGTATTTTATAAAAGCCTGTCCGTAGCAAAGAAAAAGGCCCATATACTAGTGGCCTCCCTTTTCTGTTCAAGCGAGCGGGTATTTCCCTATTCTCTACTACTACTGTCTCTTCTGGATGTATTCTTTACGTGTTGCTTTATTTGCTATTTACATACACAAAAAGAGACACTAGAGTAGAGCGAAACAAACAAGCAAATCAGTGCAGATTAATGAGTTTATCCTGATTCTGTGAGCACAGTGGGGATCACAATGAGGGCACTCTGGTGTTACCCATTATGCCTCCACCCTATGGTGTTACACGTACTGCCTTCTCTCTATGCTGTGCCTTTTAACCCCCCCCCCACATCCCTTTCTACAGTGGGGATCTTCATTCGCCTTAGGGGGCCAGAGAGCTTACAGCCAGCCGTGTTTTGTCCAATCAACAGGGGTGTAGTACTAATCACCAGAAACAGGCTGCTGTGATCACCAGGAGACTAATACCAGCACGGATAGAGCAACTAGTGTGTGAGTGAGCGTGTTTGCATGTCTGTGTGTGTGTGTGTGTGCATGTGTGTGTGTGTGTGTGTTTGAGAAATATAGATTGAGAGAGAGCAGAGAGAGAGCATGTTTCTCACATTTCCACTTTTATTGAATCTCTGGAGTACTGCGACAGAGTTACTCATCCAGATAACTTGGAAAAAAGTTTTTCACAGTTAACTGCGTAATCGTGCTTCTTGAAACCCTCTTATTTTTTCTGCATGTTCTCCCCCAGACCTGGTACATTAAACAGTGGAAAATAATTCCTGGTGTCTGTTTAATCGTGAAGCACCAGATGGGTGGAGTGTACCGTGCAGACATGTTGACAGGAACAGTAAAGTGCAATGAATCCTCTTCCAAGCCTTCTCCCGTGATTATCACTGGCACTCATTGTTTTGTCTCCTGTGGAAACCTCACACATCTGGCATGGGTAAGCCACAGAGAAATGAAAAAAGAGCGCACAATAAGTGTTTTCAACTTTGATTTATTCATAGGGAAAACAAATGCTTAATGCGAGGCAGGTGTGGAGACAAAATGAGTGTGAAAGTAAAGAGAGAAAAAGAGTAAGGAAGTGATGGAGGGCATGGAGAGGATGGAGGTGTTTGATGACACAGCAGGAGTTTATCGAGCAAAATGACTTTGCTTATCTTTTCAATTAAAATGGATTAAGGGAGGCAATGAATGGCAAACTAACCTTGCTCCATTGGCCTCACCATTTTCTCAGCCTGATTCGCTGTACCTCTCATGCCCTCCAGTCGTCACCTCTGCTCCCCTTCCCTTCTCCCTGTACCGATCTCTCCTTCTCCCCTCTCCTCTTTAAGCTTGTGTCACAGTTAATCTGTTATTCCATAAAAGCCATAGTGCTATTACTTTGTATTGCCTCTGAGCTACCTACAAGGCTTGCCAACACCGCTGAGTCTGTTCCTGTCTTCCATGCAAAGAAGATTAGGAGCGCAGATTGATTTGTCTTTGTCTCCCACTGTTCCGCGGCGGCCACGGGTGTTGGTAACCCATAGCGACAGCATTGCCGTGGTAACAGTTAGCAGTGGTGAAAGCGGGGATTGTGGGAATCAGATGTGCTGCCGGCATCAAATCTGGCAGTGGAACAAAAAGCAGTGACACATACCTGGGTTGGTGGCATATGAAGCCTGAAAAGTGACTCACCACATATGGAACGTCAGCATTAATCAGCAGCACAGATTGAGAGTGAGAAGTGGGTGTGAGGACATGTGACATCTGCCATGCATGTGCACACTCATGCATGGGCCTCAACGCCTCGTGGCATGACAGTCACCTTACCTACTTTTGGGCAAGCCCTGTTTTCTAGATTTAATTTACCTTTGATAATGGCTATCAATAATACAATGTTTCGCTTAATTTCATTTATGTTTATTTTATACTGAGAAAGGTTAAGCAAACGAGCGTGGTTCAGATTCAAACTTGACTCAAATTTAGCCGCAATACCAGGTGAGCTACAAGACAACCCCAAGAGCTTTTGTTTTTACCTGACACTTAGCCTCGAGCTAACTGCATTTAAGAGCTTTCCACCTTGGGCTAATTGGGTTCTTGGCTCTTTGCTAACATTTCCCTTTGGAGACTTCTAAACTGGGCCACACTTGGCATTAACCTATAGTTTCATAACACTGTTCTGAGGCAGCTCATTTTTCAGCAGTATCAACAACGGAGAAAACCTACCTCAATAAATACACTAGAGGCTCTGACGTTTAAAGAGTACGGCAACAGAGGCCACAAAAACACAACTCTCCTCAGCAGGGGATAGGGATATGTGCTTATTAATCCCAGTCTGTGTATGCTTTGATGAGTGGGTGGTCCCCAGTAGTTTCATACTAACATATGACCAATTAGTCAGATGAAGACCCATTTCAAAGTGTTTTTGTCACCAGGTTATGGATAGTGAAGGGAAATGTTGCTGAGATGATGGATGAGTAACTTATAAGGATAGCCTAACTCTAAATGCTCTAGACCACTAACCCAAGGTGAAACCAGACTTATTCCCTGAAGGTCACCTGAAGGCTAGTTAAGCTGTTATAAAAGAGATTAGGACGTTTTGCTTGACAAAGAAAATTATACCATTGATGAAAGGCAGTTTTTCTCACTGAAATATGTCTCTGAAAATTGTAAAAAGGCAATAAAGGATAATCTGAAGTCCCTGAAGGACTACTAGCATGTTTTTGTATAGGTGGTGAGAATTGACACAAGGTTTCTAAGCCATTCCTTTTCCTTTCTCTATCTTTAAACACTCAGAATGGTACACAGTTATCAAAGGGGAAAATATGGTCTGCAATGTGTAAAAAGTGGGACAAGCATGCAATATTATTACAGTATTTGCTACGGAACATTTGCTGTGTCTTTTTTCATCCTTCATGCTGATGCCTGTTGTACAGATATTCACAGCTTGCAGATTGCACAGTTCACGCTCTACAAATCAAAAACAACATTCTGTAAACATATTGACTTTACCTTATTGGCTTTCTTACCGTAATATAAAATGCAATTCTTACTGAGAATACAATTTAACTTAACATTCCTGTATTGATACTACACTGTATAATCAAGCAGGTCCGCTGTAAAAAGAAATGTTTTCACATCCTAAAAAGGTGGGAGGAGAAATTAAAACCATTGATAACAGAATAAAGTGAGATAGGAAGAGAGTGATATATGATGTGTGAAGTAAATAAAGTAGATCTGTGTAAGAAAGAGAGGGGAGGGTGGGGGTGTGACACAGGGGGCACGTTCCTCTCCCTTCAACCGGTCTGTTGGATAAATGGATATCGACAAGGCTGCTACACAAAATGAATTACTGATGTGACTGAACTTTAGTCTGACAGTGTGTGTGTGTGTGTGCTTGTGTTTTGGTGTGGCTAAAGGGGATGCATGAGCTGACATGTCAATGGGCTTGTGTGTGTGCTTAGTACACACAAGGTTACTGTTTGTGTGTGTAGTACGGTGTGTGTGTGTCTGGGGCAGTAATAAATGATGCTGAAGATGAGTTTGCCAAGCTGCCTCTGTGGTCAACTGTAATCTGAGCTGGGGCCATACCTCCATCTGTCCTGACACACACACACACACACACACACACACACACACACACACACACACACACACACACACACACACACACACACACACACACCACACACACACAACACACCACACACACACACACACACACACACCACACACACACACACACACACACACACACACACACACACACACACACACACACACACACACACACACACACACACACACACACACACACACACACACACACACACACACACACACACACACACACACAGGATAACAGGAAGTCATATTTTCCCGTTTACCAGTTGTCTCTCTTTTACTGTGCCTGTCTATAACCTCTCTCCTCGTCTCCTCCACTCTTTTGTCCCTGTTGAGCATCTATTTCGCTACAAATAGCCGCCATGTTGTGGCTGTATTTAGCTGCTCAGTGTGTCCCCTGCCATCTGTGTATGTCTGGCTGACTGAAAACAAGAAAAAAGTCTTTAGATCAGGGCTAATAACAAATAGCTGCTATCTAAGGATTGGATGCACACTTTTCTTTTGTTAAACAGTTATTTAACTATCACTCAAATCCATCAAGTCACACTACAGTACCTCTTAGAAATGACATTAAAAAGCAGATCACTAATAAAAATACATGTACCTCATCTATGCCTTTTAGAATCATGAAAACATGATGTCTTTGCTGTCTTTGTTGGTAGCAAATAGAGTCAAAGTTAAACTTGTTTTATTAAGTTCAAGTCAAGTTACTTCATTATCTGTGAAGTGCTTACGCATTGTGATATATAATATGTTTTTCTGTGTAAAAGTGGAAAGAAGGTCGTGCAGAAAAAAAACTCTTCAACTCTGAAACTTGTTGAAAAGAAAGAACACGAGCTCTGTCACAACCTTGAAAATCCGCCAAAACACTCAAGATGTTCACAAAGAAAGACGTTTATTTCTCACTCGAACTTTCTTTTACATTTCCTTTGATATACTGACTGATATAAAGAAGATGTGAGGAAAACACGTTGATTAGAGTCAAGATGTCTGAAGATGAGCTCCATCAATAATGTGAGGACTCTACAATATAATGCACACATTTCTGTTAAGGCTTCTTGAGGTGATCGATCACAATGCGTTAAGAGGTACTGATGAGAACACTTCAGAAACGAAGGGCAGGAAGCAGGAGGATTGTTTCATTCTCAAATGTGACAAGACAAATATAAATGCTAAACTCTGGTGCACATGCTACATTTTGTCATGGTAAACACGAGGCAGAGTGTGCATGTGGAGGTATGTGTGCATGTGGAGGTATGTGTGTACAGTAAATGCCTGCTTTTGTTTGATGTGATGCAAAGCGGTAATTTTGGCTGCTTGATATCTGTTCAAGATTTAATTTGTGTAAATAGTGTTTAGCAGCGCCTTGGGCCTTGAACGAGACAATCAAACAGACTGATGAAGGCAGGCCAACGTTTCCCCTGTCAATACACAATTGCTATTTTCTCCATTGTTGGACACCTCCATTCAGGCAATAATTACACCCATTATAGAAGACACGAACACTTAGGTTTCTTTCAGAGCTACAGAGATGAGGGGGTGGAGAGGAGAGTAAGGTTTTGTTTTTTTGTATTCAAGTGTGATTGAATTTTTGTATCTGCATATTTGTGAGTCTTTGTTTGTAAAAGAGGTTAAGTGGGTCGTTGTGAATGAACATTAGCTGCTTCTTCGTATTTAATTGCCTTCATGGGAAATTCTTTTATTTATTCTTTTGTATTCCTGTTTGCATATAGAGCTTTTAGGATTGTGTTTTAATTGTGTTTTTTAGTGTGCACGTCATTCCGGTGTCTGTTGCTTTGTATGTGCATGAATGAGCACTTTAGCCACGTGACATCACATTGATGATGCAGTATCATCCATTGACCAACTCTACTGAATTTGTTTTGGGATGAAGAAACATATTCTGGATGCTGTGTCTGTATGTGTGTATGTGTGTGTGTGTGTGTGTGTGTGTGTGTGTGTGTGTGTGTGTGTGTGTGTGTGTGTGTGTGTGTGTGTGTGTGTGTGTGTGTGGTGTGTGTGTGTGTGTGTGTGTGTGTGTGTGTGTGTGTGTGTGTGTGTGTGTGTGTGTGTGCATTGTGTGTGTGTATGTGTGTGTGTGCACTGCTAGGGTTTATAAGAGCTTTCCGACGGGGCTTCCCTCCTAAATTGCTTTTGAGAGACACACTAGTGACTTTGGGACTAATTGAACTTCACTGCCACTATAGATACTACTCAATAGATGGCGCAGCTTAGAGATGGAGTTGCAGCATGCTTCATCATACAGAATCGTAAAAATGGTAAGTTGAAGAACTATTTATTGGAGGCGAATGTTGCGGTAAATGCAAAACAGCCCAAGGAGTTTTAACTCAAAATAAGTTATTCACTTATACACACCTTTTATGGCTTTGATCGTCCATGTTACGATTATTCCCATCTCTACTGCACTGTTAGTGATCAAATACTCACACAACACTGAAAACACACACAGACACAAACCTCGGCTTTGATCTTGTTGTCTCCGAAGCAGAGATGCTGTAGGTAGGCAGCAGCGTTGGACTGCACCGATGGGAACTGATGCTGTAACATCTGGATCACCTCTGGCAGCTCCGGATCTCTCCACCCAAACTCTCTGCACAGAACCAGACAGACAGAGAGACACTTTGATTCCTGCAGCACTTTAACAAAGCATCTCACCAAAACACAGGAGATTTCCTCAAAGTAGTCCAATCAAATCACAGACTCTTTTTCCAACATTCACAAAGCTACATGCATTCACGTTCACTTACATGCTTACACAATATACACAAAGGAAGACCTACATGTGGATAAAAAGGCAGAGTTTGATTGACAGATATTTTTTTTAATGAAAACAACGACTTTGTTTTGTTTTCACCCAAAGAGCTCTGTTATAATTGGAGACGGCTTTATAAGTTAAGCAACACAGCGGGAAAGAAGTGATGGAAATTGCATATTGAATGCCCAATTTGTCAAAACATTGTCATTTCCACCTGTCACAGTTGCAGGAAATGAGAGAAAGTGGTGATGACGCCAGCATGTTAAATCGAAAGCATCGATGAACAACTCAACCAGTAAATGGAGAAAAATATGGGCTCAAATTGGGTTTGCAAATCACTTAAAAGGAGTTAGATTTTCCTTTTAAAAACAACTTAGTGATTTGAACAGGCCTTAACTCTTTATGTAAATATAATTCAACATATAGTGAGTTCAATAAAAGCTTTACAAATGTGTTAAAGTATTAGATATGTAGCATACAAAGGCTTCAAGAAGATCCAAAGTAAAAAAGGCACGGCAATTTATTGTCTGCAGGGTTTCACTGGCTTGTAAAACTGCAGTGAAAAAACAACAATAGCTACAGTAGAGATGAATGTGTTGAACATCCATCTGAATCATTGGGATGTCGTGAAACACAATGCAACCAAGGTAATACTAAGAGAAGTCCGTAAATACTTTGGAGAAAACTTAAAATAGGGGTAAAAAGTTGAAATGATTGCACAGCACTGCCTTACTGCATGCATGCTGTCTGAGTTATGTTATATACTTTCTACTATTAGGAGTTTACCCTCCTATGAGCACACTGTCCATTGGTAACACTCAGGTAATGGTCTTCTTTATTGTATTATCCCATGCTGAGAATTGTTTTACTTCGGTCCCCCAAGTAATACAATTATTAACGTGCAAGAAAGTGTTGGCGACTGCGTGTGTACACATGTTCTGAGTTTCTGCACACTTTAACGTAATATTTGTTCCAATAACCGCTCTGTAAGCTGTCTCTCTGTAACTTCCTCTCTTTCCCGTCGTCTCAATAAAGTCAACTCTCAATGCGATCTGAAGAAAACCTATGTTGAAATTGTAGCCTCTCCCATCGATTGTGCTGTTGGAGGATTGATTTGGTTGTTTCTAGATCCATGCTCACCGTTCTGTGCCAACATGCGGCTCACTGTAATCCCCATCAAGCTATCGTGAAAAACAACATTGATAGCTCAAACTCCCCAAACATGAAAATGTGGTAAATACGGGACAATTGACCTGCTTGGAGGGTTCAAACTGATGGGGTGGAGGATTGCGTGTGTGCCAGTGTTTTTGTTGCGGAAAATGAAGCCACAATACCACACGTCCATCTCTGTCAGATGAAGCGAATGCGGCCTGGGAAACATCTGAGAGGAGCGGCGCGTTCACGGGGAGCAAACATGGCTCTCAAAGATAAAGCAAGCTCCAGTGTGGACCGCTCTTTATCTGCCAAATGATAAGTGTTCACTGCGAGAAAGCAGGACTGAAGGAGGGAGGTAGAGGAGAGATAGAGAGAGGGAGGAAGAGGGAGGGATTCCCAAGGCATTTAGGGGATTTAGGAGAAGAGCCCCTCAAACAACACCCCTTAAATCACACAGCCAGATACCATCAGGCCAGTTTGTTTGTTTATGTGCATGCGTGTGTGTGTGTGTGTGTGTGTGTGTGTGTGTGTGTGTGTGTGTGAGTGTGTGGCTAGATTAAGATAAGATCATGATGTGTGTTTATGTGGACACAATCTGTGGCTGTTTGTCTTGTGTGAGTGTGTCGCTGTCAGTGTGTGTGTGTGTGTGTGTGTCTGCACGGATGTTTTCATATTCATCTGTGTCTGTACTTCAGCGTATGTATTTATGTATTTGACAATGTGTCAAAGTGCATGATTGTGCATGTGTCTGTGTGTGCGTTTGAGCCTGTGTGTGTCATCCACTCCCTAGCAGCCTCCCAGCTCTGTCAGTGTGGTTAATAGAAAGCAGAGTGATCTGCTGATAAGATAAGCATCATGGCTCGCCATTAATTAAAAACCCCTGGTAGCGAGAGAGACAGAGTGAGAGGAACAGAGCAGGAGGGAGACACAGAGGGAGAATAAAAATGAGGAAGCAGAGTTTAGGGAACAGCAGAGCATTCAAAGGCAATTGTTGGTACAACTGGCAAGAGGAAACTGGTGGGAGAGCGGAAAATGAGAAAAGAGATGGAAAAAGATGAAAACAACCCTCAGATGAGATGCCAGTCATGTCAACACAGGTGCTAGAGAGAGCTACAGCGATGGTAGACAACGCTAGGCGACAAGCCAACGACGGAAAACAGCGGGACGCAAACAGAGAGGGTCACATGAGGGAGAACTTATCAAAGAAGAACTGCCAACAAAAAACAGCAGAGCTCACCATAAATATCCACACGACTTTTGAAGAATCTGCAACACAAAGTGCTGCAGCTTGCGTGCCATATTCTTACGTTATTATTTTATGCTTTGTGTGCTAATAAATGTCACGGAGAACAATTTGTTGACTTGCCTTTTCCAATCTGGAGCTACATGTTCCTAATACGACACATTGGTGGGTACGGGAATAAATGAAATGCAGCACAGAGCTCCGTGTTCCTGCCTAGATGGGATGCTTTGCCATTTCTTGAGGCGTGCGGAGGCGTGATGCAGCAAAATACTTTGAATGGAAAAAAAACGAGGTATTGCAGGAGAGCAGAGTGACAGACAGAGAATAAAGACAGGTGGCAAATGGGGTTTGTGGGGGAGGAAGGGTGGATGCAGAGACAGAGTGATATAACTGGGAAAGAAAGGGCTGTTGTGTGATAGTGGGGCTTTGATGAAGGTACACACAAACGCACATGCACGGGGGAGGCAAACTGCGATAGAAGAGTACAACACATGCAAGAATTATCAAAGGGTTTCTTTCTTTTCATATTCTTCTCTTCATATCTCACTCTTTTCATGTCCAGGTCTCATGAGACAGCTGAACCTCAATGTGAAATCCCAACATGACCACTGGTACATGGATACATGTATGTACGCACACACAGTGAGAAAACAAAGCTAATGTAACAAGAAAGAAAACGCTGATTACACACAACTCAGTGTTTATCCACGTTGATTTCTACACAGATTGGCCGATTGTTGCTGTGAATAACTTCCGCCTGGTGGAGGAAAGCTGAAGGCCGAGGGACAGACATGAGTGACAGCGATACATCTCCCCTCTGCTGCATCATTCATTGTCATGTTCCCTGTATCCCTGAACTCAAACGGATGAAATGGCAGAGGCAAAGCGTGGAAGGATGAATTATGTAATGGAGAATGTGATAAATAACTATAAAGCTGGAAAGAAAATAAATAAATAAAAAACATGAGTGCCATTGGGTTATGAAGTTTATTGTCCCGTATTCATGAAGAGTCAAACTGCACATAAAGGCAGCTGAGTGGAATGGCCTTGGATAAAGTCGATGAATTATACATTTATACCTGTCATCGGACATACAATATATTACAGCAACACCAAAAACACAGACACCATGGAAAAGATCAAATGGGCCGCTGGGTGCCATTCATCCCTCAAGAGACTTTGAGTCACCAAATGTCAAACACCAGTGGCTGAAAAGCGAGGCGCTGAACTGCTCATCTGCCATTGTTGGATTTTGGTTTCAGGTGATGTCACTCTCATGCAATACATGACTGCAAAAAAAGCCAATAACCCAGGGTCAGGCAAGTACGTGCATTTCATTTTTATTTTGCCTGCAATATTGAAAAACATGGACCATGATACCATTAGCTACATGTGTTGCAAGAGAAACCAGGACTGACAACATAAGTAGTATTAAAAAAGCCTTATTCAGGAACAACAGTGCAACACTGCAGTGTGTTATAAATCTTTATCTTCACAACATTTTTGAAAACACAAGAGCCCATGATTTGGGTCTCCTAACCCAAATCACATCCATCAGCAGGGACCACAATGCATCTGGAGTGACAGCTCCACACAAGAAGCCTGTCCCGCTGGCCCTAATCTGATTGGACAAGGCACGTCATGTCTCTTAACTGATAGGAGGGTCAGGAATGCACCGACTGGCAGTGTGCATACCAGAGCAGATGCTAATTAGGACCTGAGCATCAATCTTCATCACTGCGTTGGGATGGAGGGGTGCAGAGAGAGAGAGAGAGAGAGAAAGGGGCAATATGAGAGAAAAGATAGAAGAAAAAAGAAGGAAGAAGAACAGCAGAAAGAGAGAAAATGCAATTTCGGTAATTTATTACGTTGGTGATCAAATTGTCTCGTGTTTCTCCCTTGGAGCTGAATAAGACTCTGACTGAGGAGCGAATGGCGCAATTTTCAAATATTGCCTATTAAATCATGCTAGCAGTCAGTACTCACCTTTTTCCTCATCCTCTCTTTCTCTTTCTCTCTCACTATGTGTATCCTCGCTTTCCTTCCAAGACATACTTAAAACTGTTTATTTTTATATTTTCTTCCTATGGATGGCAATCATCATGTTTAATACATGCTTGAGTCTATAGTTTGTACAAGTGTGGTTGTGATCCGAGCATTTTACACTGCAGTTGTGTGCTATTGTTGTCACGTCTATGCATGTGTGTGTGTTTGTGTATGCTCTTAGGTTGAGTTCATTAGGGAAGTCAATACGACGAACAGACTTTGGCTATTCCATATAACAGCGGTCAGAATAAGTTGTAGGTGAAGATTCACATTGACTCAAAGTGCAGAGCCTGGCCTCTTTAATTAAAAGCACAACTTAATTAAGATGCTATCCAGGAAAAAAGCCAAGTCTGTTGATGTGCCCGTCTGATAAAAGCTTGAATTGTAACTT